CAGCTAGCCCGGCGTGCAAGAAAGCACGCCGCTGCACAAGCCCCGCGAAACGTTCGACGTCGCGTTGGTGAATTTCGCGGATTAAAATTTTGGATCCCGATCTGCATTTCGAGAGTATTGCGATTCGTAAATATATAATCTAATTTCTGATCCTAGTATCGGTAATACGAGGGAGATACGAGGAAACTTAAACGAATGTGACAAGAAATTAGAGCTTCNTCCCCCCCCCCCCAGAATGTACGGTATCTATAAAATTCCAAACATCATGATGATAAATTAGAAGGGATACGTAAATTGTATCGTAACTTTCGGATAAAATTCACAACGGCCGACTCCGGGACCTCGCTCTCTCGCATTGCCACACTCGGGCGCTTTAATGCTCGGTACGGTCAACCGAGCGGAGAGAAACGGAGAGGAAGGAAACGATACCGCGTTTTACTACTGGCTGAGCACGACAAGCGTAAATTAATTTTACAACGTTCCACCGGGTTAGTGTGGTGTCATGGCCCGCCGCGTAGAAGGGAGATCAGGAGCAACATTAAACCTATTCCACGTTAAAGAAAAGGATGAGCAACAGCCATCTCTAAATCTCGGCGTTTACCAAAGCACCGGCGATATTGCTTCTGATTTTACTACACAAGAGATATGATTGTATTAAAGCTAAGAAATGCGCTTAACCATTTTTCGCTCGGACTGAGACTTTCGGGGGTTCGATCATTCCGACATTTTATTTACGTATTTCAATCGGACTTTTCAAGCAGGATAATCGTTGATAAGATATTTTCGATGTTATTCAAGGTAGTAATAATAATAACTGCATTAACTGTAATACACATATAACTATAAAAAAAGCAATAAATAACTGTGATCAGCGCGGTTTCGGGTTTTTGCTTCGAGTAAACATTATTATTCCTAGTTGGGTCTTTAGTTCGCTCGGTCGAATTTACCGCGCACGCCTCGCGGCGTTTTCTAATCCACACCTGTGTAGATTTACCGCGCGAGTTAACGTTTTCAGAACCGATAGCAACATTTTTGCTACTTTCCACGGTAATAAACGGCACGCGGGCTAGACAACTCGGGACCGTTTATTTCGGTTGTTTATCGCCTCCACTTATCGCACTTTTTTCTTCGTCTCGCGGTCAGACCACGCTAAGGAAAACGCAACGCCTGCTTATCAAGTACTGTAATCGCACCGGCTTTTTTTGCCGTGTACCGTAATCATTATTTTTCTACGCAAAAAACTCAAGTCCGCCGCGCAGATTGACTAGTAAATCGGCCGGTTCTTGCGGATAAACGTGATGTCACGGGAAACTGCGCGAGCAGATCGTTTTCCTTACCACGACAGGCGACCTCGTTATACTCGCACGCGAGTCATATGATTTTTTATTTTTGCCGCGATCTTCAATCAGTCACGTGCATACGAGGTCTGTTAAAAAAGTATCGCGAATTTTGTGTTTTTTCAAAAATTATTTATTTATTCATGAATATCTATTTTGTCTCCTTCAAAGTAATCCCCATCAGATATTATACACTTGTGCCAACGTTCTTTCCAATCCTCGAAGCACTTCAAAAATCATTTTTCGTGATCTTGTTCAGCTCCTCCTTCGCCGTCTTTATCTCCTCAATCGTAGCGTAGCGTCGTCCTTTCATGTGCCTCTTCAGTTTCGGGAACAAGAAAAAGTCACAGGGGGCCAGGTCTGGGGAATACGGTGGCTGCGGCATCATTAGTGTGTTGTTTTTGGCCAAAAATTCGCGCACAAGCAACGATGTGTGAGCAGGGGCGTTGGTACGAATTTCGCGGCGACCCGTCTCATGCCCAAATCATTAGTAAAAATCGAATGGCACGAGCCAATCGATATGTTTAGGTCCTCAGCAACTTCTCTAACGGTGATTCGACGATTGGCCAATACTATTTTCTTCACTTCATCAATGTTTTCGTCTGTTGTTGACGTGCTCGAGCGTCCGGCAAGCTCTTCGTCGTTCACATCTTCTCGGCCCTCTGAGAACATTTTGTACCACCGATAAACGTTGCTTCGGTCCAAAGTAGCTTCACCATATGCCACAGTCAACATTCGGAATGCGTCCGCGCACTTAATTTTGTTAGATTCTTTGATCCATTTTTTGGAATAGGCAAAAATCGAAGACGAGCCAAAACACGTCCAAGCAAAACAGCTGTCAAAGATAAACCGAATATTCAAAATGGCCGAACTTGTCGACATAAGTGAGGGACATGAGTACCAACATAACGCCACAAAAAAATCGAAAATCGAATATACGTAACCCGCGGAAATTCAAAATTCGCGATACTTTTTGAGCAGACCTCGTACATTGAGTGATCGAAATTTTTCATCCATGCAGAACATTCTATTCCCCGCGAATTATCCATCTGTCTGTTCGAAAAAGCTGCCCGAGTCGAAATTTTCATTCAACATTATTAACCCCGCAAATTCTGTTCAACTTGTAAGACCAATGTAGAATCTCGAGACAGACTATCGTGCTACCTTGATGCTGCAAATAGTTGAAGTATAGTTGCCTACTGTCATTTTCAGATATTGGTAGATACAAGCAAGATTGTACCCGCGACCGAGGAAGCATCATTAGACGCAAATACCAGCATCAAGATTTACATTTTTTCAGGCCGATATTCATAATTATATGCGATATTCATTTAGAGTCTTTGATCAAAAATATAATTAATTGCAAATTTTTATTCACAGACACCGTTACATGGCAGTTTCGACCAATGTGTTTCTTGTAAAAAATAATGCAATAGACACACACATACACATACATATATATATTAAATAACGTAAAGTCAGCTAGAATCTGATAAAGTATCTCGAATGTTTCCATCCCGACAAGATATCTTAATCACTCGAGAAGAATGATAAATAACGTTCCGACACACATAGTTCATGGAATGCAAATCGCTCATCGGTTTAAAATATAGTGGAAACATATGAAAAAGAGTGCTAAGTGCAAAGACAAATTGGAAAGTTCGCCTTGAAAGTTCGTGATGTTTTATTGATTGTTGTCACTCAGCCGATCTAATGATGGGGGCGATGATGTTTGGGGATTGACGTCAGTGATGCAGCACTTTTTGCTAACTGTTTTGTTAGTACAACACGTAGTTCACTTTTATTGTTGTTTACATGTACATACGTCAGACATTTCAACGGTTCTTGAAATATTTAATTGGACTCTCAGTGGAATTACGTTAATTTACGTGTTTTTCTGTTTTCATTTAGTATCTTAATTTTATCTAATCAGTACCATTGATATTCGGATAACGGAACAGCAAGGAGCAGGCTGATAAGCAATTGTAGCGGCTAATAAGCAATTATAGCGGCTAATAAGCAATTATTGGCCGCTATAATAATTGCAACAAATTGTACGTATCTCGATAGAGCTAGATATTATAATTTAAGAGTGACTTTTTGTTTTGTTTCTAGAATACTTTTGTGAGCGCTTTTTTTATTATCTATGTTGCGCGATACCGATAAACAATACAAACTATTTCTTGACTAGCTATATAATTATATATATGAGACACTATACCTAAACAATATAGTAATTTGCATTATTTGTAGAAACAACGAGAAAATACGACAGTTGTTAAATGCGACCAATGATAATAATTTAATTAATCATGATGACTTTCTGTGATAGCCCTTGTCAACTTGAGTCTTTTTTATATCATTTCGTAAATTTATTTATTTATTTATTTGTGAAATGGCTTTTTTCACACAACTTCTTATAACGCTGTTTATGTAAATCGAATGGTACGTAGGAAGACCTGTAGAAAGACCTATATAAAAACCAGACTAACCAGACTCATTTATTATAAGAGAACTGGTCGCTAGATCAGACATATTTTTCGAACGTACAAATGTATAATAAATACGAAATTTATCATATTGAGTTTTTTAATGACTTCTTTTGACAATAGTTGGATTTGCAAATATAATCAACGAATAAGGAAAATAATGTGTAAATAGTTTACAAAATATTTAATCAACATGAATTTTCAACTGAGCCACGTTAGGCTATTGTGGTCATTAAAATTCGATACGCAACGCATTTCTAGTTATTCCTTTCCCAATGGACGTGTCATTCTTCGTTAATTTGAATCATGATGAAGTCAACTGGAATATATTAATCGACGTGAAGTCAAATAGAATATATTAATTACATAAATCTTTAATTTCGCAAATCATGATTACTCGACGATATATCATGATTATTCGATGATTATATTATAAAGGGTGCCCAAAACTAATTTCGGTTCCTGTTATGTGTAAGTAGAACAGGTGAAACTGAGCAAAAAATCTTATACCATTTTGTAATTCATTTGTGTTGTTGTCAATTATTTTGTGAATATGTATATATATCTTTTTATTTTAACGTAAAACTAAAACATTCTTGACGTGCGTTTTCTCGCTTTTGACGTCATGAAACAAAAACATTGATTATATTTTACGTCATGAAACAAAAACAGCAAGGATAATTACATCGATTACCCAAGAAGTGAATAATATATTCAAATTATTTACGTAAAAAATTACGTATACAATTACGTATATGTTTATAAAATATATCCATTCTTAATGCTAATGGACTTTACTGAAAAAACTCGTTTAAACTGGATTAAGAAATGCTAATTATTAATGAAACAAATCTAATTGGAAATATAAAGCATTTGCTAATAAAATATACTGGATATTTCTTTAGAATCAAAATAAAGCTTTATACGATTTAAACATACGCTTGTAACATCTAATTATTTCTTTCCCAATGGTCGTGTCATTCTTCTTATACTCAATGTTAAAAAGGTATCCCCTCTCCACGTGTCCTTACTCTTTTACATATTCTCTTCCACATTCATGTACATTTCAGTCTCAGTATAAACGCGCTCGTCGTCGAGTTCATCTGACGTGTACTGATTTCTAAACGTGGCTCATTGGTTTCCGTGAGTTTTCTACGCGATCACTTTGATAGAGAGCTACATTGCTATCATTAGAGGAAATCAAAGTTGGCAGGAACCGCCGAAGAATCTGCAATTTGGCTTCTTCAAGTAACGATCAGCAATTAATTGATAATTGTGAATATTATATTCAGTGCAGCAACAATGCACGTACTCGGAACTAAGAATGGAAAAAACTGTTTTTTTCTCCAGGCACATGGACAGAATGATACTGAAAAATAAAACCTACGATGACTTGTTGGACATCTCGAAACCTACAGATACTAGTAACTGCCAGAGCGAGATCTCTCAATATTACAGGGGACGTAACATTCTCATAACGGGCAGTTCCGGCTTTTTGGGCATACTTCTGATAGAAAGATTACTGCGGTAAGTACTTTAGTATGAGAAAATATATTTCTCAGTTATCTTTCTTTTTGGAGCCAAAATGAAATGATATCAGAGTGACACAACGTATATATATATATATGCCATGTTCCAAGACGGCAGATTAAATGGGGTTGTTCCATTTCTAGCAGATTAGCAGATTTAAAAATCGACTTTTCTTTAGTAAAATTTCCCGAAACCGAAACCGAAGCTGAAACGACGACTAAAAATAAAGCAACGTATTTAAACGATACGTAATATTTTAGACAAAACGTTGTTCCAACGTTTCAAAAATATTTATGCCCTTATAAAATATCATTTATAATAATTATTTATGAAAAGACCAATATATTGTTTATACCAAACGTTCGAATGTTATTATAACGGATACACTTCAGTGTGCGCAGGAAAACCCTATTCGCACAATAAACGCTTGGTTGTATAGGAGTGCAAGGTATGCATTTCAAAAATTTGCTTGATATATTTCATATTCGACCTTTTCTAAAGTCGTAAATATTAATGAAACGTTGAAACAGCACTTTGTATGCAAAGTTATTTCCGTGTCGTGTTTAATCATATGCACACGGAACACACTGTATAATACAATCATAAAGCGAAATCACGAATAAACATTTCTCAAGAATTTCGTTAAAAAAAAATAATATCTTTAGATGCTGCCCGGATATAGGAAAAATGTACGTGCTTATGAGGGAGAAGAAAGGGAAATCAGTAGATGAGCGGTTCAACGAGCTTTTTGACAACGTTGTTAGTAACATGAGTGAAATATACGTGATTTTATGAAGCTCTCGTATCGCGATTTTTTTCTAGGTTTTTATTTTTAGGTTTACGACAGAATGAAGAAAGAGCAGCCCGACTTCATCGCTAAGGTAATAATGATAGAGGCCGACTTCGGCGAAGCAGATCTGGGCTTGTCGCCGGAAAATCGGAAACGTCTCTTAGACACAAACATAATATTTCATATGGCGGCGACCGTGCGATTTAACGAAATACTTCGAATCGCGGTGAACATCAACGTGAGGGGAACCAAACAAATGCTTCTTTTTGCGAAGGAGATGCCGAATTTAGAGGTGACATTTCAATCTTGCCTCACTCTCGTATAGATACATAAATTATACTCGCACTAATCACACGACGGCTTTCCTTTTCTTTTTTCTTTGTTATTCAGGCATTTGTTTACGTATCGACCGCGTTTTGTCACTGTGTGAAAAGCTTTATCGATGAGAAATATTATCCTCCGCCTTTAGAGGCGGATAAGATTTTAACGTTGATCAATATTCTGGACGATGATAAGCTGGAGAATATAAAACCGACGTAAGTATTGCTACGTGATAAAATTTATTTGCCTAATATAATATAAATATTTGTTTAACTTATGTTAAAATCAGTCTTTGTTAAAATTATTCAGATAAACTTTTAACATACCCATATGTACTAAATATCATTGGTGATATATTTTTTATTCAAGTTAACAGATAAGTTACGTTAATTATCTTTAACAATTAAGACAGTCGTCGTCTTAAAATTTAGATTATACGAGATACATGCATAGCTAGAACATAAAAATAGTATAATAGTAAAGTATATAGTAAACAATTTTGTGTTAGAAACTATCCATTGAGATTTTTGTGTCATTTTAACATGAGGAATATATAGAAAAAGTACACATATTAAATATATGTTAAATATATGTTAAACATTAACATATTCACCTTGTTAATATATTGCTTTTTAACGTATTCACCTTATTCAAATAACAAAAAAAATTAAATGGATCGTTTTAACACAAAATTTTTTACTAAGTAGGTATGACACTGATCGAATTTAATGGTGCATAAATTAAGAAGATTTCGGGTTAAATCATTGACGACATTCCGAGAACAAGATGATGAAAAAGAAATTATAAATAATATTTTTTGTACGAAAATAACAATTTGTTATATCTGACATCATAAATGTAACGTACAATTTGTTTGTAATTGCATCAAATGTCACATATTTTATGTTGATTTTAAAACGAAACTTTTTACTGAGTATGAACAATTCTAACAGCGTATCCTTTAATCTTAGTTCGTTCGATATCGAAGGTAAGATTAAGCATTCTCACGAAATCCTTATTCTTTTCGGATGAGTGCAGATTACTGGGCGAATGGCCGAATACTTACGTGTACAGCAAGGCGATCGCCGAAGACTTAGTGCGTCAATACAGTGTCGGACTACCGGCCTGCATCATACGTCCATCGATCGTAGTGACAACGTTGAAAGAACCGATATCTGGATGGACTAATAACTTATACGGAGCGATAGGCATAGTAATGGGCACTTGTATAGGTTTGTTGCGTACTTTACATTGCGTGCCCGAATATATTGCGGACATGATACCCGCCGATTACGTAATAGCGAACATCATCGTTGCGGGCTGGGACATCGCCAAAAGAAAGTAAGTTAATATTCCGAATAATAGAATCTTCGTCATATATCCTTTGTTATATTTTTTTCCGCTTACAATGCTGTAAGCGTCATTCCATCTTTTTTCTGGCACGTAATAAATAATAAACGCAGCCATAGTAAAGCATAATTTTATTCATTGTTTCTAATACTCGTTTTCTATTAGAGATACTTTGCTAAGCATTGAAGAAACGGACCCAGACGTTCCTGAAACTGAAAGAACGCCGATTTACAACTGCGTGTCGTCGCCCCAAAATCCTATTACTTGGAAAAGATTCACGAGTTTGAACGAGAAATACGGCTTACAAATACCGAGTACAAAAATGATATGGTACTATAAATTCACTCTAAATAGATACCGATTTATGAATGAGATATACGTGATATTCCTGCACTTTATACCCGCTGTCATAGTCGATGTTTTGGCTTTCCTCATAGGCCGAAAACCCATGTAAGTTCTTTAAGTTCTTCTGATATCAGAACGTATGATCCCTTATTAGTAACATGTAAGAACTAAATAGCGAAAAAATAGTTCTGACAAACTTCAAATTGGAATACCGTAAAAAAAAATACAATTTAAAGTTTTCTTAACAGTCGCCTACAAAACAAAGAAAATTCTTTTCTTCCGAGAAAAAAAAAGAAAACAGATATTATCAATCCTCGAAGAGAATCATTTTATGCATTTTAGAGTTACGACGAATAATTTCTATTAGTTTCTTTGCCAGAGTTAACAAATTTGACAACTTTTAGGTTAGTAAAATCTTACAAAAAGTTAGACAAATTCATCAACGTGGTAACGTACTTTACAATACGTCAATGGCAATTTCGCAATGACGCTGTTTTAAAACTCTGGAGTCGTCTAAATTTAGCTGATCGTAAAATGTTCAACTTCAACGTACAAGACCTATCCTGGAAGGAATTTACGGTGAACATGGTTTTCGGACTTCGTTTGTATTTACTGAAAGATACGGAAGATACTATAGAACAAGCACGCATAAGATATAGGAAGTAAGTATCAGTATCTTGTAAATGTGTGTCCTCTTTTAGCTTTTATGAAATGTACGTATTATGACATACCTTTTTCAGAATGAAGATCGTCCATTATACGATAATAACTATTGTCTCGATTTTGCTGATGTGGGGTATCTTAAGCTTAGCAAATTTCGTAATATCATTCTTTTCGTAGAATTTTGTCGTTTTTCAAGTTGTATCGATAATAGTGGTATATGTAGTAAAGGATAGATAATTATATTGATAAGATTAATAGCAAAAATAAAAATATCTGTAGTTTACGTATTATTTTTTATACAAGTAGTTATACACTGTAGTTTACGTATTATTTCTTATACAAGGGTTTAGGTATGTTCTGCATTTACTAAAACAATAATAAATGTTTGCGAAGATTTTAAGAGCATTTTTGTCACGAGTGTGAAACAGAACAATTGCATTCGACAGACAGTCGCGATCGTTAAATGAGGCGGTCAAGCAAAACGGCATAGATAATATTGTTTTTTTCCTTACTTTTTTTAACTACACAATTGGATAAAATGCGTTTTTTTCTTGGGTACGGTTCTTACGTGATTATATCGTTTTTACGTTCGAATAAATATGTATGAATGAATATTTAACATCTTTGATGATCGTACTCAAAAGTTGGTATAATATTATGTGAGAAAAGTGTTGTTACATTTTTTATTACAACTTTAGCTTCGGAAATATTTTCATTCGGAAGCTCGGTTTACGTGAAAACTCCGGATAAGCTGTCAGGTAATATCGCGACATTTTTGTTACGAGTCTTAATATCTTTCCGATAAATTGCTCTTATAAAATGGCAATGTGTTGCATGTTATACATATTAATATAATTTATGCGTAAAATTTGTTATCAATATTAATACATGTAACGCCAATCACGTCATCATACACCTAAAATGGATGAATCATTTAATAAGGCAGTCAAGCGATACGATATCGCAATATTGAATGCATAAGTAAAACGATAGATTGATAACAGATTGTCGAATGCAACTGTTCTGTTTCAACTCGTAACAAAAATGTCGCGACATTACCTAACAGATTATCCTGAGTTTTCACGTAAACCGAGCTTCCGAATGAAAATATTTCCGAAGCTAAAGTTGTAATAAAAAATGTAACGACATTTTTCTCACATGATATTATACCAACTTTCGATTGCGATCATCAAGCTCAAAATGCAGTCAATTAAAATAAATTAATATTTATTTTGCACACAACATGTTATAACCTCCCCTCTTCCCTCCTCTCTCTCCCTCTCTCTCTCTCTCTCGCTCTTCCTCTCTTTCCCTCATCTCTTACGTTACACTATACGTGCGATACGTGTTAGAAAAGCCAGCGATCGCCGACTCTTAAAGTGCGATAATTAATTAAGGCAGGGTTATTAATTTATTTTCACTTTCTCGCAAGACTATCGAATATCTAGCCACGATGACGACTGGGGTGGAATGCAGGACATTGAATTTCTTAAATAAATCCTACAAGCCTCAACAAGAAGAATATGATAGTGAATAATTATTTGTGAATCACAAAGCACTAGTCTGTATAATGTTACGCTTTTGGATTTCGCATGAATTCTTCGAGTTTGGTGGGATTTACACGGGCTTAAAGAATTCAAATATCGACGTTTACATAAACTAGTGACACTAATATACGAGGACCACGTGATAACCATCTCGCGAGTCTTGCTCTCTCCTTTTCGCAAGCAGACAGAAATTTACAGGAGCACATAGGATCGACGGTTGGAAAATCTTCGCGAAACGCATAGAAAATGTTTACACGCCGTGTACCGAGATGAAGGTATCTGTCGAAGGAGCCACGTGGTGTTAATCGCCGTGCTGAAAGGAGATAAGGCGAAACAAGGGAAGTTACACAGCCAGCTGGGTAACGAGGGGTCCGTGATCCTGCACGGAGGCGCGGGAGAGTGCACCTATGGGAAACTCGAGATCGTGGCCGTATGTAGATGGTCGCGAGAGGCGCTAAGAGGCCGGTGGTGTACGACGATCGCGCGCACGAAGGAGGTTGGTCTATTAGTTCTGTAACCTCCCGGAACAGGCGAAGGAGGCACATATCTGTGATCGGCGCCGATAACGTACGAGACGGCCGAGAGAGAGAGAGAGAGAGAAAGAGCACGCGCGCGCGCGGTTCTCACCCGAATACAAGCGTTTCGTTTTAGACCCCGCCGATCGCAACCGAGGCCGTGTGCTTCCAAGATGGACCGTTTTTGTACGACCACTCAAAGTCGAGTCTATCGTTAGTCGCGCGAGAGCCATTCCGCTCTTCTCGTTCGTCGTCTTCAACTGTATGTAAGAATATTCGTATACGATGTACAAGGTACACTGAAAGAAAAAAATGCTACCGTTCAAGTAATATTTACTTGAGTAAAATCGTTACTCCAACACTCCTCGGCAAATATTTACTACAAGTAGAAATATAATAAACTATTATTTCAATTATTATTTCAAAAAGTTAAAAAAAAATACAGGCACAATTTTCGAGGACGATAGGAATCTTAATGAGATGCGGACGTGGCGGGGCGTATTAATTTTCGGATTATCGCGCGCCCTGAAATTACACCACTTTCGGATTCAACGATTTGTGCAATTTGCATTTAATTTGATTTTAATTAATTCGATGCTGTTCCAGTGCGGCGTTAATAACACGCTTGTCGCGAGTGTGAGAGGAATTAATCTAATTTGCTCGCAGTCGAATAATTTCGAAATACAATGATACACAATATAATAAGGAACATAATTAAAATGTAACAAGAGATAGACAGAGAAAGAGAGAGAGAGAGAGAGAAAGATTTCTCAAATTATGAAAATAATACCGCGAACGAAAATTGATGCGCACATTCACACAATGATTTACACGTGCCACGACATTTTCACATAAAAGCAGCGGCTTGAAAAATTACCCGGATTTTATACGCATATTTTTATATTAGACGCATTCATTCATTTCATATAATATTATCTTCAATGTTATATATATAAATATAATTTATTTAACATATATTATCTATTCAATATTATCATTTTTATATTGCAGAATACACACGCATCTCCACCTCATCATCACAGATTAATCGCGGAAGGAACCTCCCGCGCACGTGAGCCTCTCGTTTAATTTCGCGCAAACGACGGAAGGACACACGCTTTTCCTGGCAAAGGAACAAGGCCGGATGATCAGGACGACGATAAGATCTCGCCGGCGAGATAACACGCAGTTGTGTATAACGGGCGGGGGAAGGGGGAGTGAGGGGAAGCCGTTTCATTTGCGAGGCCGGCCGCAGATGCGCCTTATAGAGGATCCCATCGACGACCTCATATCGCCATATTCGACGCGCATTAACTCCGATGCGAGCGCGCGCGACGACGACGATGCGCAGGATCAATGCGTGTCTCGAAGAAGGGAGACCGCCCGTTTCGCAAAGATCGAAGGATATACCTCGCCGGCGGGCTTCCCGTGTCTGAATAATGTTAATGCCGACGATAAATACGTCCCGCGATCGCCGGCGCGGCGACCGGATCGGGAAAATTCCCAGGAAGTAAAACGGAGGTGACGTGACGCGCGTTTAGATTTCCCGGCCGCGATATCGCGGAGAGCTTCCGTGCGCTTCCGCACCCTCGGCGAAATTCACGGTGTCGTAGCGGATCGAGCGCCGACGTTGCGTCGTGCCCGGCCGTATCGCTCGATGGGGCAATTTCGGCTATTCTAGTCGGAATTGATGCGGTATTTGGGAAAATCGTGAGAAATTTGTAGGCGGACGTGACGGATAGGTGCGTCGCTGACAGCGAACGTGTTAATTCCGTTTGCCGTTTACAAATAAGAAGAATGACGGACACCACCTGATGGCTTCTCGGAGTTACCGTTGCGATGACGCGAGCATCCACGAGGAGAGGAGAGAGAGAGAGAGAGAGAGACGATCGTGATTCCAACCCCTTTCCGTACTCGAACGTAACGTCTGCGTGGGTAGCGCGCGCGTCGCCTACACGGAACATCGCGGACAAAAAGGCGGATTTACACGGTCTACGCGATGACGCAGATTACCGTTTTGTATCGCGGATGTTCAACACTGATTATTACATCCGATAAGGAACGCCGATGCGTTGACCCGTCGGCCGATAAAGGTCACGTTCCCGATCGCGAGGGTCACCGCGGGTTCCCTGTCACCCCTCCCCCTCTCCATTGACTACAATACATCCCGGGAAGCGCATCTTGGTACGTGACAGTCGTCCGTAAGAACGAGGGAGCCACACGGAATTCGTGTCGGCAACGAAGCGCCGTAAGAATGAATCCCGCTGAGGAGGAACGGGGGGAGAAAGAGGACACACACACACTCCGCTCGATTGTAGATAGAGAAGCGGCAGGAGGGAGGGAGGGAAGGACAGGTTGCCGCTCGCTGCCCACGCCGCGGATTCCAGGGATGCAAATTCGCCCGAGCTATCGTCCGAGCTATCGTGAATCACCTCTTCGGCACGGCGCGCACGGGGAAGACACAAAACGAGACGCTCGTGCGAATGCAAGAACCGGCCGTCCGCGGAAATATCGCGGCTCTACCTGTGTGCGTGTGTGTGTATCCACTCTCACGCGCAACATCGCGCCGGTGTCTCCATTTCTTTCTTTCTTTCTCTCTCTCTCTCTCTCTTTCTTTTTTTCCCTCCCTCGCTGCGCGACTGCACGTGAGGACACGACACGGACGGATGCACCGTGTGGGTGCACCGCTGCACTTGCGCCGCGACCCGCTGGGACCGCCGCGCGGATGCATGATGTATAACCGCCACCGGGTTGTGCAGTGGCGAATATGCAAACCGGCGTGCCCGCCCGGGGTCAGACTCTGCCGGCTGCCCTCCGCTTCTTCGCTCTCTCACCCCGTGTGCTCATTCTCCCTCTCTGCCTCTTTCTCTCTTCAGCCTGCCAGTCGAGCCGGGTCCGAAGTACGGAGGAACGAGACGGTCAATACAGAAGGAAGTCGTAAATCATGTACGTACATATATATGTATTCGTACATTTCGCTCCGGCCAAGCCGCGTTCGCTTTAACATTGCGCCCGGCGACTCGTTAACCCTCTTAACATGCGGGCGTGAGAAAAAAGCGTCTACTCTCGCGTGACCGGGGAGAGGATCGTTCGAGGCGGTCGTTCGGAAGGACGTCGGACGAAGGATTCCATTCGTAGGGCAAGGGTAAAAATATGTCTTAACATTAACCCTAGAATACTAACGTGCGACTCCAAGAGAGAGAGAGAGAGATGTAGATATATTTTTTAAATCCGCAGCAATTTCTACCTCTATGAAACTTGAAAATATGCATACACGTTGTATTACTTTCAGCGGAATTTTAGAGTGAAAAAACAAAATAATATGTCGATTTTGGTGGATTTTCCCCTGGCAAAGATTGAACAATATAAAAACCCGGTTTGACGTGTTCCTTTTTAGTTCGTTCCGCACACCTCCTATTAAAATGGGCGGCGCGCGATTAACTTCATCGTGCGCCGAATTCTGCGCGCGCTCTGCCTTCCTTATCCATCGCGTAACCGCGTAGCGATCGCCGACGGCAATTACCGCCAGGTATTCCCGGAACCGATCCCTTCCGGGACGTCTTTGCGCGCGCGCCTCGCCGCGGACGAAGAAGCGGCCGTCCTTTCCCGCGAGCACTGCACCTACGTATGCACCTGGGGAGACATTTGTAACGATCGATCGGGCGCGCGGAGACGGCACGGAGTAAACGACGCATTTGGAAGCGATTACATCACCGATCGATCGAAGACATAATAGCGTTCCGCCGGGAGGAGGAGGTACGCCGTCCTCCCCGCGGGCCGCGTCGCGCAAAACATAGTATTCACGCTAGGAGGGTTAGAAAACGGCAGTAGAAGTAAGGGTAATGATGATTGCACGAAATGAGCCTGATAGCCGGCGGTGTGTATGTGTGTGTGTCTGTGTGCTCGATCGCGGACTATAAAGCCAGTTGCGTATCGCGTATCGCACACGGTGCGTGTTATCAGCCGTAAAAGATTTATGAGGAGCGAGTGTCGCCGCGACGGGACGCCGAATGAAGCGGGCGAGCGGTGCACGAAACTACTACGCGGAATTAGAAGCGGCTTCACTTTTACTACGTGTAATTCCCTCGAACGTTCATTCACCCGTAAATACTGCGAGCGCTCGTTACAAATGCG